GATAGTACGTGCCTGTTTAAGCCACGGTCTGACCAGGCAAAATTCCGTTAGAGCTGGATTCCGGCAGCGCATTGAGTCCCCTAAATGCCTTTGAGGGAGAAGGGAAGAGTGCTGGCTTCCCGGTTAAGTTCTTGTGTTTCTTTGTGAAACGCGTTTCTGCTAAGCCTGAAAATTAGCCACTGAGAACCTGGAGCAGGTAAACCGTGCTCAGCTTCTCCCTGGTAGAAGCAGGGAACGACATGCCGGAACGGGAACTGTTCGGCCTGGCCTCGTGGAGTAGCGGCGGCTGTTTCTCGCGGAATAGCTGTGAGTTGGTTTAGGAGCACTGGGAGTCTGGGAAGTATTCAGTGCTCTCCGTTGCTGCGGGAAACCATTCGCTGTCACCTTCCCATGTCCCAGAGCAGATCTAAAAGCTGGGGGGGGCGTCTGCAGGATCCCCCGCCCCCATATCCACACGGTGGGCAGGAATAACCATCGGTGCTGTCTGGCAGGGGGCATCCATAGCCGCCCCTTGTGCGTTATTTAGCGTCTAATTAAAATATTCATAACAGTGAAATTAGTGCATTGAAGCAGCAAAATTGGTTTTCTGGATGCCAAACGCTTCATTGCTTTATTTGTCTTTTAATTTTTGGATAATGGTAGAATACAAAACAGTACGCAGGTGCTTGTCCGTAAAACCAAAATGAGGCTGTTTCTTGTTTAAGATGATGGAAAAAAAATGAACGTCGCGATGGAAGCTTCCAGTATGCAGTGAGCCAGCGTTTATCCACGTCCTGACTCCATGAATTTGTCTCGTGTGTACCAGTTGAAACGCCCCTCGTAATTACTCGGGCTTGTGCTTAGCTCTCCTGAGGAAATCCACCTGCGGAATGTTTAAAGCGCAGGCGCCGCTCTGTGGCACGGCCGTCCCTCTCGCCAGGCCCCGGTGCCGCCGACGTGCCGGTCGCTGAGCCTTTCTCCAGACTCCGTGTCTCTGATGGTTGCGCTCTAGCCCTGCTCCGGCTGGTGCCTGGAGCGACTCGGGGCGGCAGGAGCTGTTGGATGCTGCCACTGACACCACGTGCTCTCTCTTCAGCTCGCTGGCATCAACAAAAAGTTTGCCCGGACTATTGGAATCTCGGTGGATCCCCGGCGACGTAACAAGTCTACAGAGTCACTGCAAGCCAACGTGCAGAGGCTGAAGGAGTACCGCTCCAAGCTTATCCTCTTCCCAAGAAAGCCGGCTATGCCCAAGAAGGGAGACAGCTCCGTAAGTACTTGGCAGAAACACTTCACCGGGTCCATTTTTGGGTTTAGTTTCGGAGGTTTGGTGGTCGGTCCATCCTGGTGCTGCGGTGTGGAGACAGGCAGCGCTCTTGAGCACTTTTCCTAACCCCTAGGGGGGAGCGGCCCTTCCCCGGGTGGCATCTGGTACCTGTGCACGTACGTAGGGAACGGTGGCGCCCAGTGCGAGGCCTGGCCTGCTGGAGTTGACCCTTCGGGGCGCCCCGGGGTGTGGCTTTGGGCAGCTGTGGCCTGGGGCCCGCTGTGCTGCTGGGGGGTACAGCGCAGACTGGGGGCTGAGCTCTCGGGTCTCCTTGCTGGAGCTTTGATTGTTGTCCAACCGGTTGAATTTGGTTCAGGAAGCTGAATTGTCAGAACGGCTGGACAGTCCGTCTGGCATCTGCCCGTGGTGGTGACGGCTGTGTGGGGAGGGTGAGGACAAACTGTGCCCGTAGAGAGTTCAGTCAAAGCCCTGTGAGGCAGACTGAAGCAAAGACACCTCACTAAAACCGCGGTCAGATCCCGGATGCCATTCGCTTTCCTCGGCTCTGCCTGTGGCCAGTCCGGGCTTCCCGCGTGGTGGCGCGAGTCGCGGGACGAGGTGCTGTGCTCAGGCTGTCCTCGGCCTGCCGCAGCGTGTCGCCTCTGGGCTGCTTCGCCGCAGCGCAGTGAGCCTACCCCGCCCGGGCTGTGTTTCTGAACAGGGCAGGAAGCATCTTGAGCTTCCCTTTCCAGTGCTTGCCTCTGGAATACCGTTTCAGGATGTCTAAAATGAAACTAGTCGCTTTTGTGCGCTGCTGCGCTGTCTCAAGGAGCTGGAATTACCCCTGGAAGGAATTGCTGAGGGATGCACTGGGTCTCAGACTAAAAATGGTACAGTAGGTGTCAACGTTTTTCCGGCTGGCAGCACTCCGGAAAGCCTGCTGCTCCTCTGGCAAGGTCCGGGCTGATGGATAGCCTGGCAAAACGCGGGCCTTGCTGTAGTTGCAACGCTGAATCCAGTCTGAAATCTCCAGCCAGGGTGGCCAGCGGCGTGTGCACGCCGGGTACCTGCCTGCGGGCTGTGCTCTTAACTCGGTACTGGCCTGGGATGCTTTAAATATTGGGATTTTCAATGTTCCGTCCTCTTTTCCCGCAGGCTGAGGAACTGAAGATGGCAACTCAGCTGACCGGGCCCGTTATGCCCATCAAGAACGTAAGTGTAACTAATCACCTCTCCGTCGCGACAGACGAGGTGGAGAGGGCTCTCTCGCTGTTCTGCAGCAGAGGGGTGCTGTCTCCAGGCACTCCCGCCCTGGATCGGAGAAAGCCAGGAGCAGGTCACGCTCATCCCGGTCTCTGGCCGAGAGAGCCTTGATCGGTGTGGTTCCTTGGCGTCACAAGGGGCTCATCGTTTGGAGCTCAGCAAGTGGGGGAGCCCCGCATGGCGAGCTGTGTCTGGCTCCGCAGGGCACCCGTGTCAGGACGCATTGGGAATTCTGCTTCCGCCCGGAACGGGGCGCTGGAGAAGCACGCATACGCTCTCCAGCAACCGCTGCGGGGGAACCTGTGCAGTAACCCCCCAAAACACCATCCCATGGAGCGTACAGCACCGGGAAGCATCTCTGCTCGGCACCGCCCGCTCCAGGGCCGCTTCCCCGCTTTGCGGGGGTGGTACCCTGTGAAATTCGGGGCGCTTGGGGCGAGGGCTGCGTGCTGGTGGCCGGCTGCAGTCGCCCTCTGCCCGGAAAGCCTCGCTCCGGCTGTTCAAGCTGACTCGTGTTTTGCCCCGGCACGTTCCGGTGTCGCGCTGGCAAATTGGGAATGGGATGAAAGGAGGCGCCTGGGGGAGCGATGAGAAGGGCAGGGCCCGCGGGTAGCGCAGGCGTGCTCCGTCACAGCGTCGCGCAGACGGAGAGGGGTGAGTTGCGTTAAGCTTTAACGGCCCTTTCCGGGAGCCGCTGATGTCCCGCTCTCCGGGCTTTTTCCACCAGGTTTTCAAGCGGGAGAAGGCCCGGGTTATCTCGGAAGACGAGAAGAACTTCAAGGCTTTCGCCAGCCTGCGCATGGCCCGGGCCAACGCCCGGCTCTTCGGGATTCGTGCG